TACCTCCTCTGTTTCTCTTTCCTCCCTCATTCAGTCTCTCCATCCATCTTCTTCCCTTTTATTTCTGTTTCTCCCATTTCCTCCCTCATTCAGTCAGTCTCTCCATCCCTCTTCCCTTTTGTTTCTCTTTCTCCCATTTCCTCCCTTATTCAGTCTCTCCTTCCCTCTTATTCCCTTTTATTTCTCTCTCTCCTTTTCTCCCTTATTCAGTGTCTCTCTCTTTAGCTCTCTCTTCATTTCCTCTCCTTCTCTTTCTCTTATTCCCTCTCTCTCCCTCCTTTCCTCTTCTTCCCTCATTCATCCTCTCCTCTTTTGGTTCCTTCTCTCCTCTGTTCTATTCAGCCTCCCCCCTCCATCTCTCCCTCACTTATTCTCTCTATCCCCCCTTATTTAGTCTCTCTCTTCCTCATTCAATGTCCCTCTCGCTCTCTGTCCTTATCTCTTCCATTCTCGCTCTCTATCTCATTCTCCTTCTCTCTTCCATTCAGCCCCCCTCCTCTCCCTATCTCTGTCTCCTTCTCTCTTCCATTCATTCTGTCTCTTTCCTTCTCTCTTCCATTCAGTCCCACTCTCCCTCCTTTCCTCTCTTATTCAGTCTCTCCCTCTCTCCCATTCACTCTCTCCCTCCTTTCCTCTTCCATTCAGTTCACTAACCTATAATGATCATTATTTGCCAAAGTGATCATTGCTGAAAGTAATTGGAAAGTAACTATTGGAATGTCAAATAATTCATGTATGGTATTATAGCTTAGTGAATTTAGCCCCTTTTCTCGCTTTCATGCCTTCCCTCTCTGCCTCTCCCCAATATCTGCTACCTTCCTTCCACTTTTTACCAGTACTCTCACATTTGTTATCTCACCTGATTCTCTGTTGATAGCCCCACTCTTTTCCTCTCCATATCCTGCCTCTGGATGACAGTAATGGCCTCCTACTCTAAGCACAACGTTCAGATACCGGACCTGTCTCCTCTGTGGCCTCCGCACTATCAGTATTTCACAGATGGTAATCGGCTCCCAGTCATCTGTAAGTTGTTACCAATGTTCCGTCTACACTTTTCAACAGTTGTCTACCCACACATTATATTTATCCAGTCCCCTTCATGCCTCCGCACCTCCAGACCATCCCTCAAGTGTAAACTGTGCCAAAAATATGTATTTCCTAGAATCCCGAACACAGCATGTCCATGTTCATCTTTATAGCACTCCCCCCTTCCCTTAGTGTGATCTCCACAACTACCCATCACAAGCCTTCACGCCCTAACCACTGTCCGAGGGAAAAAAGCATTATAATTATTCTGCCAGAAATGTTCCCATTTCCTGGCATAACCTTCTCAGATATGAAGGATGGGTGTGCATATGCCATCTGCTAGCTAGAGAGGAACAGGCCTGCAGAAGAGATGGAGAGAGATGTGGGAGAGACAGATGGAATGAGGATGGAGAGGGTGCAGGAGGGAAGGAAACACAAGAGAGGAGGGAGAGAATTCATTCAGACAAGGGGGAGAGATGAGTGAAAACGATGGGGGATTCACTATGAACGTGAGCTACTTAAAGTGTAACTCCATTTCTGTAAAACAAAAAGTCCCCAAGTATATAAACATTGCAAGGATTTCAAACTTCTGTTTGTAAATGGAAGGATTTCCCTTGTTTGTAATCACTCAGGGTTTTAATGAGAAAAGCTGCAGTGTCTGTCATCTTTAAGGATCTGTTCACACTAGCCCGTACACTGAAACTCTGCATTTTAGCTGATGGGCTAATGCGTTGTGCAGCTCCCATAGTGTGTGTTTTGTCACATCTTATTGGAACCGAAAGTGCTTGTTTTCGTCTAGGGTCTAACATAACAGCCTTGGATCCAGCTGGCTGCTAGAACAGTCCCTACAGCCTCTTTCTCCTTCTGCTCCAGCAATGGCATGTCCCTTGGTGTCCTCATGTCTAATACACTGCATTGGATGTGAGTGCCAGAGCGAAGGGGGAGAGAGGCTGCAGGGACCGGTCTAGCATCCATGTGGACAGGGGTTCAGGTGAGTATTTCTTTGTTATTTTAGTCCCTAGACCAAAACGAGCACTTAACCCTTGCAATGTGGGGGTAGCACTGCAAAAAAAGGGGGTTAAATTTTTTTTTCTGCCCAGGGTTCTTCTTTAAATCTAAATTCTAAACCTAAATGTAGCCATATAAGGCCAATGACATCACTGCATCCTGCCCCTTTGCTTGCATTAGGCTGCGGGTGGGGGAATTCCCCTCCAGCAGGTGATCGGGCGGCACAGAAGATACTTCCTTTCATGTTCAGGTCTCCTTCCAGGTTAGGAGGAGCTCAGGTTCAGTCCTGGTGTAGTCAGAAACTGAGAGCATCCTTACTCAAGTGGCTTTCCATAAAGCTACTTGATGCTTTTTAACGGCTTTCTTAATGTTTGTTAAATGTGATGTTTTTAAGAAAAAGGTATTACACACCAAGATTTGTTTATACATTAGGGGCTTATTCACATGGGGATATTAAAACATTCCCATCTACGCTAAATCTGCCTGCCAGAAGCTGTAAAGTGTAAGAATTACACTTACTCATTTTGGTGCGTAATTATTAGTGTTTATGCGCATACGGCCTTTAGAGCCGTATGTGCAAAAACAACTCCCTTTGCTTAGAATGTTCATTTATTTACGCATGTAAATTATGCTGCTAAGCTCCTCTCCAAACACAGTTTTGGGGTATTTTTTAACGTTGCTCTAAAATATGGATCAAAACGTCACAACGTGCAAGGCTGCATTCAGAGGCAACAAAACCCAAAAGATGTCTTTAAAAGCGGCGTTTCATTCTACCCATGTGCACGAGACCTAAACAGTTGAAAATATCGAGCTGCACAGCAAAGATACATAATAAGATCAATGATAACGATACTATTTTGTGCACAGGATGAAGCGATTACATAAATATTACAAAATCTTTAAAAAAGCCTGCTCTATGTTTAAACAAAAGTATTCATTTATAAATAAAAAATCCACATGAAAACAGTTAGGTCCCTTTCACACAGGCTGTCTGATTGGGTCCACCTGTCAGTTTTTCAAGCCGCCCCGATCAGATGCCGAATGTTAGTCTATGGGTGTGTAAATGGGCAGGGGTCAGTTTACACCTGGTTACCCCCAACTCTAGCCCGGTCGGGAAAAACAAATGGATCAGAGATCCATTTCCCTGGATTGCTAGTAATCGGAAGTCCATATGCATCTGACTCCCCATAGACTGACATGGGGTCCAGCATTTTTAGTTCTTTCCTGCATAGCAAGATAGAGTAAAAAACTGGGCGGACAAGGATTTCACAGCAAGGACATCTGATTTGTACTGCTCCAATCGGGAGCACAGATTACCTCCTGATCAGCCCATGTGAAAGGGACCTTATTGCTGAACAGTCCAGCCATGCAGCTCTTGACAAACACAGTGAGAGCACTCAGAATTTCTGAGATGGAAAATGCTGGTCCGGTCGCAGGACAGCCCCACACTAGAAACAGAGCCTGAGATGCAATGGATAGGAGACATGCCGGTTTTGGAACACAGACGGCCTGTACCTGTTCTTTCTATTTCCCTCCACCCTCAATCAGTTCTGCCTGCTCAGTCACATGTGCTCACAGCAAGATACTGTTGTTAGGGATGCGTTTCGGGGAAGCTTGTCCCCTTCATCACCCATCAGCAGTGTGATGGCCTGGCTATTTATAGAAGAGTTTTTTTCAGAACTTGAAACACACTTGCCAGTTACACGAATAACTTCAGCCAGAAATGTATTTATTTAGATTTCAATAGTGTGGGAAAGAGTTAGAACTTTGTCAAGTTTTTATTGCTGTCTTTGTCGTAGAAATTTGTCCCTCACTCACTGTCTCCATGACACCAGGACAAGAAAATGAGAGGATGCGCGTGTCTCTGGGACAGGAAGTTTCGGCTGGTGTTGGCCTTTGTTAAAGAGAATTATGAGGCGAGTGATTTTCACTTGGCCTCATAATCTGAGCCGACCTGTGACAATGAAAGTGTCACAGGTCGGCTCAGTAGATCGGGAAGTGAGCGAACACATACCGTTGCTCGCTCACTTCTCGATCTATCCCTGCAGAGAGCCGTGACTGTCACTCACAGCTTCCTGCAGGGATTCCCCCCCCCCTCCCCTGTCCGATCCTCCTGCGCTGACTGGCGGAAACGGACAGGGGAGGGGGCGGGCACAGCTGGCTCTGCCTCTGGATAGGCAGAGCCAGCTGTCAATGCCGCAGCTGGGTGGATCCAGACATTATTGTCGGGATCTGTCCCGGCTGCGGCATCTCAGTATACCGCAAGCTGTAGCTCACGGTATACTGAGCTTTGGGTCACAGGAGAACGCTAGTTTGTGTTCTCCCCTGACCCTTAGGAGAACTATGAGGAAAAGCCCTAACCCCATAGTTCTCCTTTACGTTTTTACAGGCATAGGACATTTTTAGTGAATGTCAGTAGTTCTATCACAGAGGGTAGATTTTTTGTGCTAGTTTTAATTTTTGGCCTACCATGATATTTAGTTGTTCATTGCAAGATCCAAGTGTCTTGTTTGAAATCTGACTAATTGTTGGAAATTCTTGCACAGCCTCACAGAGAAACACAAGCACACAGTCTGATATGCATGCTACACATGGCTTGAAAACAGGAAGGAAGCCACAGCTTTTATTTTCTACCTTATTCAATACAACAGAGTATCTACCATAGATATATAACAGAACTTATAAACACTGCCATCTAGTGACCTAAAATATATACTGCAGGGGTTGTTGCTATAAGCACAGTAATGTGTATTCTAACACTAATTGCCCATGTGCCTGTTTATATTTTTATAACTGGAGCATCTTTAACATGGAAGTATGGTGTTTGACAGAACGGTTTGCTATTTCTCTGTAGCCGGAGGCACCTGTCGGGTGGTGTCTGCCCATCGTTGCTGCAACAGGAACCGTATTGAGGAGCGATCACAGACGGTGCAATGTTCCTGCCTGCCTGGGAAGGTGGCCGGGACCACCAGGGACAAACCATCCTGTGTGGACGGTAAGTTATCTATTGACTGCATAGGGGCAGCTCTGGAGTGTGAGTTTTATCACACACTGCCAGTGCTGTCTCTGTTTACATTTTTTCTTTTTTTTAAACTTTATTGGTAGTAAACATTGTGTACATTCTTTTCAGGTCCCCACATAGCAGCGCAGTGTACCATGCTGCTGTGGGGGGACTTAAATGGAGTGTACCTGCGGTGGCAACCAGTGCAGCATGCTGCATTCTTCCCCAGCACACTGCCCATCACACACATATAGTGGTGTGAAAAGGGCACTTAGAAAACAATTGTTTTTATGTGTCCCACCGCTGACCTACATTTATCCGGTGTGGTAAAACGCAGGTCACCCCTGTATGTGTGCACAGGCCTTAAAGTGTACTGTATGTAAACCTCCAGGGCCCATTTACACTATTGTGATGTGGTTAAGGTTGTAAACACAGGAATTTCTGCAATGCTCTTTACACTCATTGCTGCTTAGCCATTTATTTTGAATGGCACCCTAACGCACTAAGGCAGTGCACGTGCTTTAGCGGCATGCCACAACACACAGCAAAGCACAATTTCAAATGTCATTAACAAATACGCTTACGTTAATTTTAGTGCACAAAAACAATATAATACCCAATTTTGTTTTTTTAATTTGTAAAGGTTCTGCTGAGTAAATAGATACCCGACATGCCAAGCTTAAAAATTGTATGCGCCTTTGAAATGGCAAAAAATTACAGCACCCCAATATGTCCATTGGCGACGCTTTAAAATCCTGTAAGGTCATCACTTTAGAGTTAACCATGAATATTGGCCCTAGAATTATTGCTCTTACTCTTACACGTGGTTATATCTAACATGTGTGGTGTAATTATCGTTTTCGGACGTAGGCGCACCTAACATTTGTTTGCATTAGTATGTACCTGTAGGAGGGGACAAGGAACTTTCAAAAAATTTTTGGCTGTTTTTAAACTTATTTTATTTAAATTTATAGCCATTTTTTTTAACTTTATTGCTATCACAGTGGGGGGCTCGCAAACCCCCTATGTGATAACACTTTAGTGGTGACAGGTGCTCTTTAATGTCACCTTTGCAGCCCATTCAAGCTGATCAGCTTCTTCCCTGGCTTCTTTAGCCAGAAAATGACAGCCCAGAAACCGGAAGTAATTAAATCATCGCCGCTTCCGGTTTCATGCTCATTACTGTTCACTGGTCTTTCTCGCCGCTACTCACTGACACCTGGAGGAGGGGTAGCGGAGCCTGGGAAGCAGAGCTTAGTAGTAAAGAACGCAGAGCTTAGTAGTAAATAATGCAGAGCTCAGTAGTAGATAATGCAGAGCTCAGTAGTAAAGAACGCAGAGCTCAGTAGTAAAGAACACATAGCTTAGTAGTAATTAATGCATAGCTCAGTAGTAGAGAATGCAGAGCTCAGTAGTAAATAATGCAGAGCTCAGTAGTAAATAATGCAGAGCTCAGTAGTAAATAATGCAGAGCTCAGAAGTAAATAATGCAGAGCTCAGAAGTAAATATTGCAGAGCTCAGTAGTAAAGAAGGCAGAGCTTAGTAGTAAAGAAGGCAGAGCTTAGTAGTAAAAAACACAGAGCTCAGTAGTAAAGAACGCAGAGCTCAGTAGTAAAGAACACAGAGCTCAGTAGTAAATAATGCAGAGCTCAGAAGTAAATAATGCAGAGCTCAGTAGCAGATAATGCAGAGCTCAGTAGTAAAGAACAGAGATCAGTAGTAAAGAACGCAGAGCTTAGTAGTAAATAATGCAGAGCTCAGTAGTAGATAATGCAGAGCTCAGTAGTAAAGAACGCAGAGCTCAGTAGTAAAGAACGCAGAGCTCAGTAGTAAAGAACGCAGAGCTCAGTAGTAAAGAACACATAGCTTAGTAGTAATTAATGCATAGCTCAGTAGTAGAGAATGCAGAGCTCAGTAGTAAATAATGCAGAGCTCAGTAGTAAATAATGCAGAGCTCAGTAGTAAATAATGCAGAGCTCAGAAGTAAATATTGCAGAGCTCAGTAGTAAAGAAGGCAGAGCTTAGTAGTAAAGAAGGCAGAGCTTAGTAGTAAAAAACACAGAGCTCAGTAGTAAAGAACGCAGAGCTCAGTAGTAAAGAACACAGAGCTCAGTAGTAAATAATGCAGAGCTCAGAAGTAAATAATGCAGAGCTCAGTAGCAGATAATGCAGAGCTCAGTAGTAAAGAACAGAGATCAGTAGTAAAGAACGCAGAGCTTAGTAGTAAAGAAGGCAGAGCTTGGTAGTAAAGAACGCAGAGCTCGGTAGTAAAGAACGCAGAGCTCAGTAGTAGAGAACGCAGAGCTCAGTAGTAAAGAACGCAGACCTCAGTAGTAAATAATGCAGAGCTCAGAAGTAAATAATGCAGAGCTCAGTAGCAGATAATGCAGAGCTCAGTAGTAAAGAACAGAGATCAGTAGTAAAGAAGGCAGAGCTTAGTAGTAAAGAACGCAGAGCTCGGTAGTAAAGAACGCAGAGCTTAGTAGTAAAAAAAACCACAGAGCTCAGCAGTAAAGAACGCAGAGCTCAGCAGTAAAGAGCACAGAGCTCAGTAGTAAAGAATGCAGATCTCAGTAGTAAAGAACGCAGATCTCAGTAGTAAAGAACGCAGAGCTTAGTAGTAAAAAAACACAGAGCTCAGCAGTAAATAATGCAGAGCTCAGTAGTAAATAATGCAGAGCTTAGTAGTAAAGAACACAGAGCTCAGTAGTAAAGAACGCAGAGTTCCGTGGTAACCCGCAGAGGTCAGGAGTAAGTAACACACAGTGTCCAGAGGTCAGTAGTAAGTAACACACAGCATTCAGAGGTCAGAAGAAAATAACACACAGAGTGTAGAGGTCAGATCTGGGACTTAACCGTTTATCCTGACATGTGCACATGTCAGTAGTGGAAGAAGACTCATTGATATTGGGAGACCATCAGTGTGCTGGTGTGTCCTAGCTGACTGTTTGGGGCGGAGGGGATCAGTCATGCAGATCTGTGTTGTAAAAAAGTGGTGAGGCAGTGCACTCAGGGATCTCGGAATGGTGTGTGGATGCTGCGCTAGGGCTGTTCAAATGCATACCCTGACAGGCCCTCTGGTATTTCCATATAGGTGGCCCCATCTGCCACGGCCATGCATGTAAGTGACAGGTAGTGGCGTGCTGAGTTCCTGCGCTACCGCAGCTCCCCATTGGCAGCCCTCAGTGAGCCGCTGGGAGATAACACTGGACAAAGGAGCAGGAAGCTACACAGCGTGACAGTTGGCAGCTGCCAAAGGCCCAAGCGCCCGAACTGTCAGTCCGCTCCTGGGTGGGGGCACGCTAACCGGCCCCTGAAAGCGATTAGGTGGCTTTGTAGCAAAGCCAATAGTCGGCATTACCCAGGTAAACAGACTCCTGATGGCTAAAGCCGCCGGGAGTCTGTTTACAGGGGCCCACTGCTGCGGATGTATGGTATGTTGGTGGCAGCAAAAGGGTTAAATGTATTTGCGTTGCCATGCATTCACACGCATTTAGCTGCTTAAAACTGGGCTAAATGGTCCCAGGATGTACATATTTTTTGTTTGTGTAAACACAGTTAGACTTAATGTATCTGGACAGTGCTGAACATCTAGGTGTGCATTCAACCATAGAAAAGCATTACATGCTTCCAGATGCTTATAGAAATAAGCTCCAAACACATCTGGATGCATGTATTTTGATGCCCATGTGACCATACCTCGAGATCCTGCCAGTATTCATCTCTGTAAACCAATGTTAGATCTTTTATTTACCATAGTAAGGGCAGGCTAGCTGATTTGTGGAGGGGGTACTGCACACTTCTGCACTTTTTATCTGCACTTTTTAAAGGCAAGGGTAGGCAACCTATGCACTCCATCTGTGGTGAAACTACAAATCCCATGATGCCTTTGCTTTTGGGAGTCATGCCTGTGGCTGTCAGAGTCTTGCAGTGTGTCATGAGACTTGTAGTTCCACAATTGCTGGCATGCCGAGGTTGCCTGTTCTAAGGAAATCAGTTGGCCTTGCTTGACAATTCTAGCTCTTTTTACAGCTTCCATTGTGATGGGGAAATGGTGGTGCGATATGGAGCCCTGCCTACAGGAGGAGGAATGTCAGACGCTGCCTGACAACTCTGGATGGATCTGTTTCCAGGGAGGGCGCATCAAGACCACTAAGGTTAGTGTGATTTGCCAACAAATCTCAACAGGCCAGCACCACTTACTGCCCTATTCCATAATAGGGGCAGGCAACCTCGGCACCCCAGCTGAGATATAATTACAAATCCCATCATGCATCTGCCTCTAGGAGTCATGTCTGTGGTTGTCAGAGTCAATGCATCATGGGACTGGAGTGCCAAGGTTGCCTACCCCTTTTCTATAACATCAGTATTCCAAAGCTACATACAGCATACTCTACCATCCCATACATACTGAATACTGATACCGGCATCCCGGGGTACAGTGGGCCCGGCTTATCAGGAATTGTCATGACCCACTGCCCGGCTTCCTGATTGGTTGGGAAGCTGGCTTCACTTGTTGCTAGGCAGTCTGGCTTCCTGACAAATCAGGAAGCCAGCCAGCGGTACATGACGTGCCACCCAGCTTCCTGATTGGTCAGGAAGCCAGGCTGCCTAGCAACAAGTGAAGCCGACTCGCTAGCCAATCAGGAAGCTGGGAGGCAGGTCATGTCCCGCCGCCTGGCTTCCTGATTGGCCCGGGAAGCCAGCTCCATGCTCCCTCGTGGCACTGCCGATCAGAGGGAATGTCCGTCTGACCGGAAGGTCCGGTATCGGGGTAAATACTGGAGCATTTGAGCAAGTACTAGTATGAGAACTTGCCCAAATACTCTGTATGCATATCGATACCAGTATCAGAATCGGTGCATCCCTAGTTTTTATAGCTGCCAATGCCACCCTGTCCTAATGACAACCACTGCCCCCATTTCTTGTATGTGCATCAAAGGGACAGGAAGTGAGGAAAAATCTCCACAATGGAGTCACAGACAGAAATAAAACTAAAAAATAAATACTGGAGTAAGGCTTTACCCCAGACAGATATTTTGTTTTTGAAAATCAGTGAATTCATTCTAAACACATCTAGTATAAGTTTCTGAATCTGTCTTTCTATGAGCTCCTGTAATCTCCTTAAAGGAAAAGTTGGAGCAGCGCTGTGGGCCAGTCAGGGTTTGCTACAATGCAGAGTGCTGTCAATCTAAAGGCCTGCGTATATATGGACTGTGGACATGTGTTGATGGCATCAGTTTGAGATGCTTCTAAAATTCAGAATTCATTGACGGGGACCTCTGATCTGCAGTGGACCTACTTCTGACCTGCATTTGATCCTCTTCAAGCAGCTTTTGCATTCCAATAGACATGTATAGGAATGCAAAACCCATCTGATGTGAACAAAAGTCCATTGACTTGGGCCTTAACACGTAGCTCTTGCTGACATTTGAAGAGGGCAGAGTGATGATGTGATGCTGTTACCTAAGAATACATTCCTTACATCATTGATGAAAAAAACAAAAATAGAGACCAAAGCGCCACAACCTATCACAATGACGGTGGTGGGAAACAAGGTGGGGGTAAAAGTTATTCAACTCCAGAAGTCTGGCACCACACTGACCAGATCCCTGCCCGAAGAACAATCGAAATAGGACATCATTGGCTGAACCACCATCAGCTCTTCACTGCAACTCCATTGTTGATTTCCCACCTCCACCAACTTCACGGTGAGTTACAGAGTTCACTTTTTCAGCTGCTCATTCTTCAGCCTCACTACTCTGCTGTTTTGCCATTTACTTCCATCTACTCCACCCGAGTCCATCTCATCATTGCCCATCAAGAAAGGTTACGACCCTGTCCCTGTAACATCACTTCACGCTCTCCTCCTCAATCACCTGTCAAAAGCGAGTGCTCACCCATCCACAGGTAAGTTGAATACCTTTAACCCCCACCTTGTTTCCCACCACAGTCATTGCGCTAGTTTGTGGCGCTTCGGTCTCTATTTTGGTTTTTTTCAGCACACACGTCAGACACCACGGTCCGGACACAGAAGCCGCACACCAGCACAAGACTACCAAAAACATTTCCCATCCCTCCTCTTTTAATAATTTGTTCGAATCACCATTAATCCCCCCACTACCTGAACTCAAATTAATTTTCTGGTCGTGTCTTCCCATTTCCCTCCCCACCTCCCCTCGAGGAGCGATGTACACGGGACATTTCTCTAAATTTTTTATTCCTTACATCATTACTTACTGTTGTTTTCTTCGGTCCAGAGGAAAGTACAAGAAAGGAAAGAATGGCTGCCCATGGGGTAAGCTACACGATAGTGTGTAACAGTGGTTAATTGGGCACGGTCATGCCATGCTCCCGCTCACTGTTCCATCCTGCTGTGTAGTTCACCCCATAGGAAGCCATGTGTTCTGTCAGTTTGCAATCAGTTGCTACTCATTCATGCTCATTTGCAGGTGATTTTAGAAGTGCAGTTACACTAATACAAATGACCCGTGTAGTTTAGGCCTAAAAAAGATCCCTGTATACATCTTGTGTTTTATGATTTCAGATTCACCCCCGATACTGAACTCTTAGGAGAAATTCCTGCGGATTGATTGTATGCCTCCCCCACACCATATAGAGGTTCAAGATCCCCGTAGCACAGGCACCATGGTCATGTGACCCCCCCCTTCGGGACAGAGGTGAAAGTGCGGCATGGAGTAATGGAGTCTGATGGCCTACGGCAGGTTCTCAGTAATGCTTTTCTATTAATAAATGGCCAATGTGAAAGCACCTGTTAAATAATGTAATTATGCGTGTAAGTACTTGAAATAATCACTACAAAACTATACACAACTCAAGGCCTCCAGCTGATGTGTAATTACTGACTTTTGTTGTTTGGTCTTTCTCAATCACCTATGTCTGTGTTTACGATAATATTAAAGGAGAACTCCCAGTCGAAATTCTCTTAAACCCCGCACTGCAGGTTTAACTGCTTGTTTTTACCTAGGGTCCAAAAAAAAGTTATAGACACCCGAACCTCAGAGCCAGCAGCGCTCCCTTAAGCCTGTCTCTTCCTCCGCTGTAGAGATGGTATGTCCCTCAGCGTCCTCACGTCCAATACACTGTATTGGATGTGATGACTTGAGGATGCCTAGACTGCTGCAGAGTCGGGGGAAATATGCCCTACCCACCCGACTTAGGGGTTTAGGTGAGTATAGTTGAGTTTGACCCTAGGCATAAATGAGCAGGTATATTTGTATACATACATACAGTGTATATATAAATATATATATATACACTGTATGTATGTATACAACTATACCTGCACTAGGTAATTATATATACATATATATATATATAATTACAAATTCAGCCCGGAGTTCTTTTTTAAAGTGTATGCAAAGGCAAAATGTTTGTATTTCATTTTCAGACTTTGGTTTTTAGAGTGTGGGAAAGTTTTTATTGCTGTGTAAAAGGGAGGTAAGGCTTTTACCCTATAATTACCTAGTGCTTCATCACACAAATTAAATTAAAAAAATTGTAACTGATTGGAGGATACCCTGTCTTCAAGTATAATATTAATTAAAAAATCTAAAGATATCATGACAATACAATATATAGAAAGCAAGTAGTACAAAACCCTTTATATTGATATTATAAATATATTACAAAATATATTTTTGCACTCGCCCAAAAATACCACCATGAATCTAAACACTTTATGAGAAGAAAATAAAACACACTTTACAGCTAAACGCCGGGAGTTACACAAAAGCTACCCTTGCAGTGGGCTCCCCCCATACTACACGGGTTTATGCTCATTAAGCCTAGCATTAGAGGAATACGTTGTAATACTTACCTCGCTCTTGCACTCTACTCTTTTACGCTCTGTGTTGTGGGCGAGCCCTCACCACCCTCATATATAGTGCAGGATTATTGGCCCTGCATTGTATTATGTCTGTGAAGGTTCTCATTTATCCAGGTCATGGTATATCTGTAAAAAATGAAGTCAAGGCAACTGGACTTGCTGTATTTTTCTTGAAGACGTTTCACTGGTCATCCGACCAGCTTTCTCAATTCATAATGACACCTCTCCCTAACCTTAAGGTGTCATTCCGAATTGAGAAACTCCAGTTGTCTTTTTTACAGATGTACTTGATAATGTCAGCATGCAGCCGCCTTCCAGATTGCCTTAGAGAAGAGGTTTTGGAGGACTGGTCACACAGCATGGAGGTAGCCTTATAGAGTGAGTACACAGGTCGGTATTATACAAAATCCCTCTGTCCCCAGACATAACAAACATTTAACCCTTGCAGTGTGGGGGGCCACATAGTATGTGTGTGAGGCGGTTGTACCGCGTTGCATCCCGCTGTGTTGAAACAAGTAAGGCATGCCTTACTTTTTGTCAGCGCACACCACCGCGTTCCTACTGCAATGTGGTGGTGTGAATCGGCGCCATCTGTGATAAGGCAGATTGCATTGTATTGCATTGGGGCTGCTCTGAAAACAACGGCCAGTGGGTCTCTAACATAGATGGTATGAATGGACCCTTATACGCAGTGGGTATAGAAAAGAATCACCCTCCTTTAAAATAATCACATTTTGTTGCTTTGCAGCCCGAAATGAAGACAGACACAGTTTTTGTTCTATCCAGCTGTATTTACTCAATGCAACTTATTACATCCAAGTGAAAGATAGAACACCGACATTTCAAAAACAGAATCACCGAGTTGGAAAAAGGATCACCCCCTCCTAAAAATAACTTTTAAACTTAATCAGGTGTAGTAAATCACCTTCTCAATGGCGCACAAAGCCATTTGATTTTCATCTGTGATCAGCTGTGGTCATGTTGATTAGCTCAGCATGAAGAGCTTTCCTGCTGCATTTTAGTCCCGGGTAATGCAACTGAAGCAAACAATCAACTATGCGTGGCAAGGCACTGTCAAAAGATCTCCGGGATAAAGTTGCGGACAGGCACAAGTCAGGAGATGGATACAAAAACATTTCAAAGGCTTTATCAATGCCTAGAAGCACAGTGAAGTCTATTATTAAGAAGTGGAAGGTATTTGGTACAACACAGACCCTCCCTGGATCAGGACGTCACTCAAACTGAATGAAAGAGCCAGGAGGAAACTGGTCAGCAAGGCTACCAAGAGGCCTACAGCAACTCTGAAGCAGTTGCAGGAATTTATGACAAATAATGGTCAATGTGTGCATGTGACAACAATATCACAAATTCTCCACAAATGTGGCTTGTATGGTAGGGTTGGAAGAAAAAAGCCACTCCTTAGGAAAGGTCACATGCAGTCACGACTGAGCTTTGCCAAAACGCACCTTGAAGATTCTGAGACCACATGGAAAAAAGGTGCTATGGTCAGATGAGACTAAAATTGAATTGTTTGGCCTCAACACCAAATAATATATCTGGCTGAAATCCAATACAGCTCACCATCCAAATAACACCATTCCTACAGTAAAGCATGGAGGTGGTAATATCTTTATATTATTGGGGGTGTGTCTCTGCAGCAGGGGCTGGAGCACTTGTCAGGATCGAAGGAAAAATACCATCAAATTCTTGAGGAAACTCTGCTGCCCCCTGCCAGAAAGTTGTCAATGGAAAGAAGGTTTACCTTCCAACATGACAATGACTCACAGCACACAGCAAAAATGACCACACAGTGGTTGAAGGAGAGAAGGGAGAATTTCCTTCCATGGCCTAGTCAGAGCCCAGACTTAAACCCCATTGAAAATCTGTGGAATGACTTGAAGACTGCAGTCCACAAATGGTCACCATCAAATTTAACTGAACTTGAGCAGTTCTGCAAAAAAGAGTGGGGAAATAAAGTAAAAAGGCTGCAAAGCAACAAAATGTGATTATTTTAAAGGGGGTGATTCTTTTCTATACCCACTGTAGTTCATAATAATCCACATAAACTTGCATGTTCTATTAAAGTTATGTCTTGTATCTTTGTTAGAAGGATGTCCCCAGAGGATCACAAGTAGGTAAGTATAATGCATAAATCTTCCTTTCAGGATTCCCAAAGGACTTTAGATCATTCCTCATTATAATAACAAGAGACAGAAATGCAATGACAGCACATAATAAATGAGTTCCAATGCTGCATCTTTCCAGCAAATAGCAAAGCCCAATCTCCACCCCTTTCATGCAATATCAATTATATATCATTGTGATCTATTTTAGAACACGGATGACGTTCAAAGCTTTATATGGGCCAGTCATCAGTTTTGGATCTCTAATGAAGGGTGAGACATTAGAGGGGGATCTGGATCAAATAGAGGAGTGGGCAACTATATGGCAGATGAGGTTTAATGTAGATAAATGTAGCGTTGTACACTTGGGGTTAAAAACAAGAAAACGGATTACACACTAATGGGAGCTCCACTGGGGAAGTCAGAAAGGGAAACAGATTTGGGGGTCATTGTAGACCACAGGCTGAGTAATAGCTCGCAGTGTCAGGCTGCGGTAAACAAAGCAAGTAGAGTCCTTTCCGGTATTAAGAGGGGAATGCTTTGCAAGGATTAGTCTATAATTGTGCCACTTTATAGATCACTGGTTCGGCCTCATCTAGAATATGCAGTCCAGTTTTGGGCACCAATGAACAGAGGGGATGTCCTTGAACTGGAAAGAGTCCAGAGGAGGGCAACCAAACTCATAAAGGGGATGGAGGACCTGAGTTATGAGAACAGGCTACTAAAATTAAACACGTTCTCCTTGGAAGTAAGGAGATTAAGGGGGGACATGAATTTCATGTATAAAATGTTTACCGGGGATAGCAACATTAGCAGCAAACTTTTTACAATTAACTCGATGACAAGGACGAGAGGCCACCACTTCAAATTGGTGGAGAAAAAATGTCAGCACAAGGGGCGAAGGGGTTTCTTCTCAGTTAGATCAGTCAAGGTCTGGAACTCGCTGCCACATGCTGTGATTTTGGCTGAGAGTGTGGAATCATTCAAGAGGCGATTGGACGATTTCCTCAGGGACCGTAATATACAGGGGTACAAGTACTCTTAAGATTGAGAAGACACAGGGACCTATACATACTACACACCAATAGGACCATACACAAATAGGTTGAACTTGATGGACATATGTCTTTATTCAACCTCAAATACTATGTAACTATGTAACATTTGTCTCTCCGATTACAATGTTTGATAGAAAGGGTATCTGGCATGAGATTCACTCTCATGTGTACACAAATTGTATGTGAGTTCCAGGTTGTAGTTTGGCAGATGTAAGCAAGCTAAATGTAGTTTACAGTAGTTCTGAGTGAATCACAAATAATGTGAATAAAGCAATGCTAAAAAACAGTCCTCTATAATAAGAGACTCATACAAATCACATTTATACCTCAGCACAGTTCATTTCAATATTAGGTTTAAAACTGGCCTAAATGCCATTCATAAAACAAAAGATGTATAAAGTTCTGTACAATCCTGCAAGGCACACAACAATTCATCGGCTGTCCCAAGTCCAGATATGCATCTTCCAATTGTCAAATACATGCTTCCTAAGAGCAGAGCAGAGATTGCCACATTTGTACAGAATTAATGGATTGTATTTGGTCCTGTGTTTACATCTGCCTGATACCTTTCCTATCAAACTGATTGTAATCTCATGGAGTGGCAGATATATTTGGGACATTTATTCAGTCATCGCTGTTCATGAGACATCCAGAACGGAGGATCTGCCCATATAAATCTCCTAACATCAGCTATGTTTTATCACAGGTCACAATTATATATAATTGATATTGTATGAAAGGGGTGAAGATTGAGCTTTGCTATTTTCTTTTTTTAAATGCAGCATTGGACCTAATTTATTATGGGCTGTCTTTGC